TGAAGAAGGAAGGGATTGTGCTGCTGCAAACAGACAGAAGGGCTTTGCTTTAAACCAGAAAAATAAATATATCAAGATTCCTTTCAAAATCTGTAACTCAACTTCCTCTTGCTTGTTTTTCTTGGTTCACAGAGGTCCCTAGTGGCAATTTTACATAACAGATGTATTCTTTTTTATTAGAAATAGACCACAAAACACCATTTAACACCTGAAAAGGAGCCTATCTTTTAGCCTAAAACTCACACTGAAGGTGCATCGCGTTTTCCTGGAGGTGACCGATACCACCAGGGAAGGTGCAACTTACTCTTAAAGCATTAATAATAGAGCCAATGTTAGATATCTACCTCAAAGCCATAAAAGAAAAAAAACAAAAAACCTCCCAGAAATTCCTCTTTACACTGTCATTGATAGTTAAAACTTCTCAGCCACCACTTTTTCTCAAGAAAGCCTGTACCTTGGGCAACTCACCTCGTACCGATGTCATTCTGAGCTGCCAATCGGAAGGTGTAACCCAGAGCTGGACAGAGCTTGGTCAGCTTGCAATGCTTCTGGCTTCCAAAGTAACACTCTCTGAAACCACTGTTCCTTTTTCCCTAGAAAGAGAGCAACCTGTAATCACACAGCTACGGAACAAAACCACACGCCGCTCGCTTTAAAAAGGGCTGTTAAGTGATATCAGGCTGAAGATGCCTTCATCAGGGCACTGTGCAGGGCACCCACAGGGCTGCTACGCTGGCTAGAAGAATATGATCACAACAGTCAGCCTGCTGTCAGATTCCTCATTTCAGATTCTGATCTTCAGGAGATGCAGCTACAGTTTCTGTCATCCTATCTGAAGTGTAATTTATCCTACTTATTCACCAAAAATCATGTAAGTTAAGGGTGAAATTAATCTCTGAATCAACCCGGTCAGAGAAGCAGATGAAAGCTGCAACCAAAACTTCTTGCAAGCACTGCCCTCTGCACCTCGAATCCCACATAAGCCCTCCCTGGTCCTTCCCAAACACTCAGTCCCACAAGAGGGCTCTCGTTCTCCGCCTTCAAGCCCCAGCGGCTGCCACCAGGGAGGGACAACCCTGGCTGAAACCCTCTGCTCAACCCCACGCCCGCCAGCTAAACAGGGTTGCTCCTCAACACGAGGAACTTTTAAGATGCCAGGTTCTGCAGCCATCCCACCACTCGGAGCAAGTGGCGTGTGACGAGCCACGAGGATTTGTAGGAAAGCCCACAACTTAACAAGCTGAAGTTTGTTATGAAATTGGGATGCCAGGGGTATGTTTCATGGGAGCTTCACATCAACATGACCTGGAGGGATGATAAGCCCTGACAAAGCCAAGATGGGGCAACAACAAGAAGAAGGTACAGAGAAACCACTCTGGCTCCCAGGTCCTTCCCCAGGTACACAAAGTACAAACCAGCACGGCTGAGGGACAGGGACATTCAGCTCCTCTCTCCCTCCCCAACACAGCTAAACCAAACCACCCTCCTCTCAATCCCACCCAAGTTGGTATGCCCTAGGGTGAAAACCGAGCCAAGCTTTTTGCAGGAATGAGGCCCCAAGATGACAAAGAGTAACTGGCCTCACTTTATGCCACATGTGGGAAGTGGTCACTTTGAAATCTTGTAGGAAAAAGGGCCTGAGCTACTCAATTCTACATAAATAATATCTACCTAATTTGTAACAGTTTAAAGGAGGCTTTTTCTCAAAACTTAGATGCAATATTAATGTTAATTAATGTTAATATTAAACAATAACCTTACAAATACCCCAAAGCACACCAGAAGAGAAGCCTAGCAAATCACAGCCACGTGCTCAACTGGTGCAGATGAGGTTATACCCATCTCTGCAACTTCTTCTGGTGCAAGAGCTCTGCTATGCCATGTATTTTTTTTGGCACTTGTCTCTACAATTTTTAATTTATATTTTATCTTGGTAAAAATCAACATCTGCCCATAGACAAGACTACTTTTTTTCACGTAATACACATGAATTTGACAGAAGACACGATGTTTCTACACTTAAGCAGACTATCAGGAAAATTATTTATACAGGTGTCCCTCACTGCAGCCAACAGCCTCACCTGCTGCTGCCTCCTCCAGCTCTCTCTGTCCTCCCAGGCACTTACTATTCCTCCTCCATGGTCAGTACATCACTTCTTCATTCAAGCTTTCAAAAAGGCCTGAGTGGGACATACATTTTTCACTGGTCCCTTTTCCAGTCCCTACTGATTTCCACCTCTTTTCGCTTGGATTGCAACACAGAAGGAAAAACTCCATAAAATGTTTGCAGTAAATGTCCAAATGGTGTTTATCAAACTAGAAATGATCTTGCAAACCTCCAGCACAGCACAATAATTTGGAGTCACTGAAGAGACATTTAGCACACTGGCAAACAGCCACCACTTTTATTTATACAGTGGGATCCTACACTTGTTGTAGAACTTGGTTTTATACACAATTCAACTTTACCCACCTGCTCCAGCTGTAACATTACTGTATGGCTCAAGTAAATGAAGGGGTGGAATTGAAAGGGAATAATAAAACCTAAAGCAAAAGTTTTTTGTAAATGAGAAAACTTTTTCAGATCTAAAATCCCTAGATACAGAGTTAGATGATAAAACTCCTTTTGGACAAAAATAATAGGTCACCATACTTTCCAGCTCACCAATATTTAAAATCTAGACCATAAAAATCTAAATAGTAATCCTATGTTTTAGTAAAACATACAATAATAAGTTTAGGACTACTAAGAATAGACTTCTTTTTCCCTTATGCAAATTCTGTTTAATAGGCTTAAATGCACTAATTTTTCTCTAACTCTTTAATGACTTTTCAAAACCATTTGAAAACATGTAATCTCTTTTTCTATTCTGCTTTAGGAATATGTGGGGTTTTAAAATAAATTTCCTATTTCTTTTTTTCTCCAAGTGAACAAAGTGACCAGATACTACTCATGTGATTGACAATAGATGGGCCATAATGGTGAGCTAAAAAGCAAAGTCCTGGCACATCTCACCTGCAGCACCACGCCAGAACTGAGAGCAATGGACTGAGGAAACTCTCATTTATCCAACTGGTGGGTTGAAACTTTGCAAGGATTGCCAAACATTTACATTATCTTCAGCTTTATAACAGTACACATTCTGATACTGCATGCATTTTTCTTCTAGCACTGGTATTGTGCCTTCCCCAGACTCAGAGACCGACTGGTATTCAAATTACTCAGACTGGCTGGTATTTTGGTTTCTATTGGCACTAATTGGAGAGGCTGGCTGATATTTCTAATTATCCTGGCATTAATAGCCTGGAAATAGTCTCTCCATCCCTCCCAAGATTTATGAAAGCACTAATGCTGGCATAATTATGGACAGGAACAACTGGCAGGCTGGCACTGGCTGCCACCCAAGAGTCTTACAGCTTTCCCAGAATCCTTCTCCTATTCTTTGTACAGTCAGCATCCAACTTTCAATCCTTTAAATAATGTTTTGTAAGTTGCTTAAAATATACTGTATCACTTCTGCAAATACTTGTAATCCACAAATTTCAAGGGGAGAGCAGACACTGTCTGACTTCATCCCTAGCCCTGCCTTCTCCAGCGCGCATCCAATATTCTTCAAGGGGACAACTCATACTGTGATGATCAGAGCCTGCCTGAGGAAACATGACCAATTTAGCTCAACAAATCCATTAGAATTTGCACAATACTATAAACCAGCATTTTAATAAAATTTATAAGTTCTGCCCATTATTTCAGCTGTATTTCAAGCTACACACTCCCTTGAAAGAGAGTGCTTAAGTTTGTCTCAGAGACAGCATTTACTGAGATTTTAAATGGGTTTTGTTGACTGCATTCCCTGTACCAGACCTAGTACATAACACAGAAGAAGGAATGGGATCCATTGCAGCTACAGTGGATGCAGAAATACAGCCTAGACCTTCACAAGACCCTATAGGAAAAGCCTGAATAAAAGCTGCCAGCACCAGATCTGCAACCAGGAGGGATGGTGGCAATCTGCTGCAGGCCATGCCAGCACTACCTTCTGTGTTTGGCTCATGTTGACAATAAAACCCAACAGCCTGATATTCAATCTGGCACAAAGCTGTGAAGCAACCTATCAACAGTTACTAGAACACACACTAATACCTCCACAAAGAGAGGACCTACGAAATATCCCCAAACTATATACAAAACCCAGTTTTATTTAAGACTCTCCTCTCGCATGGCTCCTAGGAACAGCACCGGAACTGAACAGATCCAGAGGGCAGGAAGGGGAGAACAATCAGAAGTCCAAGCACAAGTGTGGAGCTCCATGTGTCTAAATCCTGGTGGGCCTGGCTGAGATGAAAGGCTTAGATTGTCGGTAACTGTAAATGAGCACATCTCTGCCAGCCCTGATAAGTCTGAAACTTTCTGGCAAAACAAACCTGTATCAATTTATGTATATATAAACTTAATTATTAACTCTCATCATCTCTCATCACCAAATCATTAAATAAAGTGGTATTGTACCTGTCTCTCTCTCTCTCAGATATAAACTTAATTATTAACTCTCCATCACCAAATCATTAAATGAAGTGGTATTGTACCTGTCTCTCTCTCTCTCAGAATGAGACACTTAGTGGATGAGAATTAAAACTGCTTTTGAGTTACAAACAAAACAGCAACACACACTGCATGAGAGGGATGTCCTTGTCTCTGGCTCAGAACAGGCCTCTGCTTTCCCACAGAGAATGAATAGGATACTCTTGCTATCCATATGCACAAGAGAAACATTTATTTACTACCACTTAATCACAGAATGATTGATTCCCATCTAATTAGTAACAAAGACCTGATTCTTCCAGCAGTGCCAGCGGCATCTTTCAATGCAGTTACAGTTTACTGGTTTTGATGAACGTTGGCATGAGGAGAAAGCATCACCACCTTCACAGCCATGTTTACTGTTCACTGTATTTTTAAAGCTATTTTTCTGATTAGCCTTTTGCTTCCCCTGAATAATACCCTGGCACAAAGTCATCAATTGACTAGTTCAGGTTTGCAAGTTCAAAGGGTTTGGGTTTGTAAAGTTCAGAGAAAAAGAGCCAGAAGGTGGAGTTTTCCTTAATTACTACTTCTAACTGGTTTTGTTGCCAGACTGCTATTGCCAAACCCAGCACCCGAGGTGCAGGCATGTCCAGATCCTACCAAATTCCAAAATACCTAAGAGAGGCCAATCCTAGCTCCTTTGAAGTCAGTGGAAACTTTGTCAGTGCATATCCAAATTATCTGAGTGACAATTGAACTTACGCTGCTTTTAAAGACTCTTACTCTGCTGTTAAAGGAACAAAGATTGCTGTTCTCCATGGTTCTTCATGCATTTTAAGCTAAAACAGTTTATTAGCAAGACACTGCTACATTCAAGCTGCATTCAAAGACCTATGTCAGTACTGCAAAAGAAAACTACTTGCATTTCATAAGGAACATGTAATGCCAGTCACATTACAGTCAATTTAATCCAAATTGGGAGCGATGGTGGAACAACAGGAATTTTTCTATTGACTACTCTACATTCCACAGTCTGCAGGTCAGGAAAAACCCCAAAACTCAGAAGTGAAAAACAAGGTGCTTAGTAGGGACACATACTAAGCAGCATAACCATCTCTTCATCAAAGTAAGTCTGAACACAACACGCTTAAATCCAGTGAAGAAACAAACACACCTCATTTGTGTTTCATCTAAAGCTCCTCTAATGAGTCAAGAGGAGGTTTTCAAAGTGTGAGAAAAGACAGCGAAACCAGAGAAAGGGAACAGTACTGCAGCTGATTTCAGCAAGACACAGTAAAATAAAACCCTACCTGCCCCAAAGCCCTTTCTCCAGTCCCTTGAGGGACCCTGCAAAGAAGTAGGGGGCTTGCAGCAGGTCGGTGGGGTGGGACTGGGTTTTCTGAGGACTACAGCCCCCAGGGCCCCACGCAGAGCTCCAAGCACCCACCTCAGCCCTGTGGGACTCACTCTCTGGCTACAATTTACAATCTCACCTAGCCTTAGGGCTGGAATATACTAATACATGCTGCTTTTGCTGCAGTTTTGCAGCAACAGTTTATTTTTTGCATATAGAAGTGATGCCACCTACACTCCAGGCTGCATTTTAGATGCTATGAACCATGCCCCTCTCTTGGTGGAAGGAAGCACAGCTGGAGCTGGGGAACATGCCAGCACGCCTGGGAGACAGCCAGGCACGCTCGTCCAACCACCTCCATCACTCCCCACGTCTGCTGTACCCAATGCCAGTTTTGTTTCTATAGTTTGAGGCTCTAGCCTCGGCACGACACCTTTCCAGGACCTCCATGTCACTCCTGTGTTATGAGGGTTTTGCTTTCCACAACTCACTTGCACGCCATCCTTCCCTAGGAAGGGACTCCACTTCTCCAGGCAGACTGCCATTGTAGGGTGTTTTTCTAACTGTATCATTGGATACATTTCTTGTTCTCCACTCGTGCAAAGCCCTCTCTGCTTTGCAGCCACTATTTAATTTCCTTCTGATTGCTGATTTTCCCGTGTTTATGTTTCATTCTGTGCCCTGTAGTTAATGAATGTTGCTCTAGCTGAGATCTGGCAGAGCATTTGCTGGTGCCTGGCAAGCCCTCCCCTCTTCCCTGCTGTATTTCTTTCTTGATTTCCCCAGGACACAGTGTGGCATTGTGGCAAAGGCAGTGCTTTTGCTTACGTGGAGTTTACACAACCAAGCACAAGGGTGCAGGGCACTGCGAGTGAATTTCCTTCTGTACCTGGGTGCCATAACTCAGAAGGTAACTGCACCCTACACCAGAGGCACAACTTGCCATGGCACATGAAAAAAATGAGGGACCATCTTGCCCAGCTCGCTGTCCCTGGCAGAGGGGGCTTCTGCAGCTGCAGGCACAGCCAGTCTGCACCTTCAGACTTCTTCTTTCATGTCTTAACAGCAAGTTTTAATTCAGCAACTCAAAATTACATTTCTGTCTCATATCAGAGGAGAAAAAAACAATAATCACAGAAACTACACCTGTGGCATTTAACTGCCTCAGAACCAGGTGACTACATTTCAGTCAGGAGTCTTGTCAAACCCTTGGAGATGAACCAAATTAATTTGTGCAGGACCATTATTCTTTCATCTTTGCTGACCATCCATCCACTGGGATCTCACATTACAGGATTGTTACAGAGAAAACAAGGTATTTAAAGTAGATAGACTAAGGGAATCAAGATGCTTTCATTAATTGGTACCTGAGCTAACCGAAACCAAACTACTTTTGCTCTGTGAAGGACAGACATTATAACAATTCCTTCTGAAGACAAAACTCTAGGTATACACTCAGTATTCAAGGGAAAGGGATAGCAAGCTTTTCTGAATTTATTGTTTAATTTTAGTTCAGTGGGTTTCTCATCATGTAGACCCCACATGCTGTGATACTGCATCCAATAAATGTTTGCACAGTGAGCAGTTCTGAACATTCAGCACAAAGCACAATGATCTTAGAACACATTACTAGTGAAATGATGGAAAACTATTCATAACAGAATACTCTAAATTATTTTTAGCATATTCAAAACCTCAAGAAGTATTTCTCAGACTGTACAACTAAACACCCCTCCACACTCTTAATTTTCCTGACTCATCACTTTTTTTTTCTTTAGATGTTGCCTCAAGCCTTTTCTGTCACCAATACAGATTTTTTCCTTCAAAGATGATATTCATTTGCACAATAAGGCAGAAAGGAATTAGGAGATGGAGGAAGGACTCATAACCAGAACCTGCCACCAGCAAATACTCCACATCTTCTGCTTTTGGAAGCACACTGCTCACTAAGGATGCAAAGATATTTGGGGCAGAAAACCTATTTCTACTGCTAATTGCCACTAGGTATTTCAACCCTGAACACATTCTTTGTAGAAAGGGTTGTGAGATCATGGCTCTTCTCCTTTGAGGCAGGAACAGTTTTGTTCTGCACCCAGACAGCATCCAGAAGGAGATCACAAGCAGAACTTTAGGATACATTACAAGCAATTAGATAAATAATTCTAATTAACAAATAAAGACCACTAAACGAGAAGAAGTTAGATTTCAAGAGCACAAAAGGAGGACACTGTCTCTGTGCAAAATACACTGAATGAAGAGTTTTCCCCCCACTGCCCCTTTGACCTTTACAACTTTTTACCTAATTCATTTTCCTACATCTATTTTTTCCTGCATTTAGTTATTTTTCTTTACTCAGCAAATCCTTGTAAAGTCTGAGTGCCATTTATTTATGTATTTATTTCAACTAGTTACTACTGACCTCATCCCACTCCAGAAGGTAGCTGGTGATTTTTGAACCATTATCAATGGGTGCCTATAAACAAAAATAAAACAAAAGGTTGATTTTGGGAATAAGAGGGAATAACTTCCCCTCCCAGGCAAATGTTCCCCTCCCAGTACAGTTTGAAGTGAAACCAAAGCTTGGGGGTTGCACATAGCTTGGCAACCTCTGAACAAATACTGAGAAGTTAGACATAATGAAACACAGACATTTTAGAAGTCAAGTCAGTGCACAGGGAGGGATTCGTCAGAGTACAGCAAGTTCAAGTCCCTTACTGAAAAATTACTGTCTCAGCTTCCAATTATTTTCATCCATTATGCTCACTGTCAGTAAACTGTATTTTTCACTGCTTTCTTGTCTGATCCAAGCATGACCTACCTTCCACTGTAAGGTTAAGGAGCTTTTGGTCCTGTGAGAGGGTTTGGGTGGGAAGGGACACTCTGGTGCTGAGCTGTGAGTGGTGAAGCTGGCTGGCTCTGAGCAGGATCCCTTCACTGAGTTGTACATTGCATATACCCTGGAAACAACATTCAAACAGGTTATAAATTTGCTGACAGCCTCGGGATGGGAATGCATTGCCTTAGCCATAATATTTGACTCTCAAAGCATCCACAAGTCCATCCACTAATGACAGATCTCTCACAGACCAGTGGCTTTTATTATTCTACTTCACTTGATACAAGTATGCAAGAAAATTCACAGCAGAAGAGGAATATTACAGTGTTTTGTGCAAATACTCCCAGAGACCACTGAGTTATCATCGTATTTTCTTTCCACAACTGTTCCATTGCCCATAGCCAGACTTTCACACACAGTGTTAAAATCCTCTTCACAAGCATGAAATAAAGAGAAAAAGGTATAAACTTAAATGCCTGGTTTACACTTGTTTCAGATGTACTGTGTTGAGTGGTGGAAGCTGCTGGTGTCTTTCCAAGGGTAAGAGCTCCTCCTACATAGCTCAGGTGTCAAAACTTAGTGGACCTTCATGAACTAGAACTAGCACAGCTCAGGAACACTGCTCTGATAGATTAAAATCTTCAAAGTAAGTTTGATTCCAGGCAAATCCTCTCTATAACAGCACAGAGGGGGATACACAATAATGTGGGAAAGTGAATACAATACAGTTGTGCACTTCCTCATGAGGTGCTTTTCTCTGAAAAATTAATGATATTATTTTTTTCCCTTCACATTTTCCGGGCAGCAAAAGAAAAGTGGAAATTGGAAGCCTACTAAAAAAATATGTTCAAACCATGACCAGACGATGACCTCTGAGCTGCCTGTAGCTATTGTGTACTTGAATGCAGAGTTTAAGAAAGGGCAATTTCTAAATTTGTTTTCAGAAGATAAGAGCAATTTCTGTACAATGGCCACCTACATAGAATCAAACCTTTTGGGGAAGCTCACAAGAACTGTTCCAGTGCTGCTTTACCCATCACCTGCTAGCAGTGAGGAGTGGAAACAAATGCAGTTAATTAATTGTCTGCATCTGGCAAGGGGGGCGTGCGTGGGCTGGGAAGCAGCACAGCTCAGCACCACACACACCATCAGGAGTGCAACCATGAGAAAAGCAGCTGAGTGGGCATCTTCTGCAAGCCACTGAAACACCAAGCACTGTCATCTCTGAAGATACCAAACTAACTGTGTTGGAAGAAACCCAGAGGCAGGTTCAGAGGGAACCAGGCCCTCCTGGTGCCCAAGGCCCAGCAGGGCAGGAGCAAGAGCAAGCAGCTCATCTGTGTGGACACAAAGCCCTGAGAGATGCTGCCAAGGTCAAGGAGACCCAAGGCAGTCTACTGAGTAACTGCTCGCTCCATAAATTTCTTTACTTAACAGATTTATTTCTTCACAGTTGTTAATACATAATGCAGTTTCAGTGAAGAAAAAAATTGTCATGGAAAGCAAACACAGCTCAGTTTCCCTCCACTACAAACACACGCTGCTGCTTTTCAAGTCTGACTTTTGTATCTGGCAGTCATTTCTTTTTAAGCAAAAGTTATTGCTAACTGCTCACAAACCATTTGTAATCTGGCAAACCTGCAGGAAGACAGAGGGAGCTGTAGGTAGGGAGAAAGAAGACACCAGGACACAGGGCTAATATCCCCCAAACCCCTAAAAATGGCATGAGACCTCAACCTCATGCTGCCTGTGGCAACAGCTCTGCTGAGGGAAGCTGGCTTTAAAAGTGATGCTCAATTGCTTACAGCAGGAAGCTCAGCAAGTGTTTTACAACCTTTCCCTCCTCACATCCATTTGCTGCTAGGGCTGGGACTACTGCCCAGCCTGGGAGCCTGGGTCTCCCACTCGTTTACAAGAAGTTACTTTTCATGTTGTGCTTCTACTTGAAAAGTTCATTTTAGGGCTCCACTAAAAAGTACCCTTAAAAAAAAAGGAGCTATAGTACCAGGGAAAGATAGACACATGTTGGTGTTGGGTCTTTTATAGAGCTCAGAGGCAGTGTTTGCTCTTTAAAGTTTTATGAACAGTAGCAGCCTTGATGTGAAAAAGCACACCAAACCTAGCCCTTGTCTGGAAAACCAGAAGGAAACAACAGACAAGAGTGAAAAGATATTTTTTTTAAAAGGATATTGAGCATAAATGAACAGGATGTGAATTTGAAACCTTAGTTCAAAAAGCAAAGTCATTAAAGAAATGCAATACAAGCAGATAACAACACAGACTGTGTGAAAAACATCAGGGAGCAAAACCAAGAATGTGTTAGTAGTTACTAAATGTGTAAACTACACTTCAATTAAAGAGATAATGCTCTGAAAATACCAAAATAAGCCAGTGTGAATCCATGTTTTGGAGAATAAATGCTGAAATTACTATGGTCAGATGGATCTGTTATTAGCAGATGACAAGCACTTTCACACCTTTTATACAGACAGAAATAGAGATATGCAGATGTCTCTTTTCCTCTTACTATAGTAATGATGACAACATGACAGAAAATGTATTGCTCCTCAAGCAATAACTTAAAAGTCTGAGATAAAATTCAGCAAAAAAATATTTAGGAGCCCCTGATAAAACATCTGTAGAGGTGACAATGAAATTCTTGAGCTATGCTGTACAGTTAGATTAAAAAGAAAACATATTTATTCTCACACAACTGAAGTGTTTGCATTTCACACTCACCTGACATGATAATCTGTTGCTGGCCTAAGGTCTTTCAGGTTGTATTCTAATTCTTCTCCACTGCAGGAAAAAAGCCCAAAACCAATGAATCAATAAATTATGAAAAGCAGAATCATATTTAACACAGCTAGTGATTTTCCAGTGACTAGCAATTCCCTCATATTATGATTTAAAAGAGGAAAAAAACATCCCATGGCAAAAACACAACAATAAACAATAATATACCAACAATTTTGTCAACACACTTAATGTTTACTGAAAACTTCATAGTTCTGTATACATAGCAGAAAAGTAGTTCTCTTCCCAATTGATACAGTAATCTGGCTATATAGGTTTATTTCAATGCTATCCCTACATTTTTTTGATATTTGCATAAAAATAATTGTGTTTTTCAACCCTCCTGGAGTTGAAAGGAGCAGAAGCAACTTGATGGGGCTCAGAGCAACCTGGTCTAGTTGGAGATGTCCTTGCTTATTTTAGGGAGGTTGGACTAGATGACCTTTAGAGGTCCCTTCCAAATGCATTTTATGATTCTATGATACTTTCTGCACATCCACTATTGCAAAATACTTTTTAGAAAGTGAGTCATCAAACTTCAGAGGAAAAAGTACATTTTGTTGCACAACTATTTAACTTATTTGCTTTCTCTTCCAGAAACACACAGTTTGTGAGGACCACAGCAAGGAGATGCTGAATTAATTCCCTAACAGCTGGACCCAGATCTCTTTCAATACCAAGAAGTCCAGTTGCAGACATTTTAGGAAAAAAACAGCACATTATTAATTTCAAACATAGCCAACATGGTCAGGGCTATTCTTTTTCCTTCTGGTTTGTTTGCTGGTAAATGAACACTAGGCTCAGTCATGTGTTGCCACTTCTGTGAAGATTAAGGTACAGGTCAGTGCTCAATAAGGAACAGCCATCTCATGTAAGTGCTTGGCTTATTCATTACTTTATTAAAATGTGGGAAATAAAACTGTCAGTTTAGCATACAGAAAAATCTTGTAGATAGTTGGACAAATGCAGGGAGATACCCCAAAATCTATAAGAAAGCACAATCCTGCTAAGCTGCCAGAAATCTACCAAAACCCCTTTTTTTCTCATACAGTCCAATGCTCTCAAAATCCTTTTTTTTTTCCCTCTGAAAGGACTGCAGCTCCTTGCAAAGACAATGCATACAACATATTGCAGACTTTCTTTTGCCTGTAGTAATAATGATTATGGCTGCTAATGGCTGTACTCTGGCCAACAGCAGGAGACAGATTACTTGGAGCAGCTTTAAAACAGATGCACAGCATTTCATAACGAGGAGAAAATGTGCAGCCATCACACCACCAAGAACAAGAGGTACTAGAAAGTCTCCTTCCCATTTCAAGAGCTCAGCAGCACATGTTAGCCCATAGAGATGCTCACAAACAGCCAGTGAAAATACCAGAAAAAAAAAATCAGGCAGTGTTTTCCTGGTTGATTTTTATATTACCCAAGACAGTTCAGGCAGACCTGCTAACTTTAGCATGCCAGAGGAATACCCTAATTCACAGGATGTTTTGAGAAGGGAGATAGTTTGGTCTCGAGAAGTAATTCCATAAATGCTGTACCACCTGGACTCTATTTAATGAGATTTGGGAAGGATTAACTATCTCACAGCAGCTGAGGTCACACATCAAAATCTTCTATCCTAGATGTCATTAGTGGGGGAAAAAGAAAGGCATAACACCATATGTACTCGATCACAGAAGGAGCTGAGGATCATTGGAAGGAGAGAGTGAAATCCCTCAGAACTTTCGCTGAGGAGTGGTGAGAGCCCAGTACTCAGGTTTTTCTGGGGAGCCCACAGAGTGGTGTGCTCCCTCCTCTGCTCATCTAGGACACTACAAAGCAGTAAAGTCCTCAAACTTTTGCTTGTTAGCTCAAAAAGCAAGCTTGACTGTTCTTAACTCTGCAAGCCCACACAGATTTAGCCCCTAAGAAAGGCAGCTATCCTTGCATGCATGGTGTACATGAAAGGTTTTGAGACTTAGCATGAGAGGAAAAAGAACCTTTACATTGGCAATGGGAGAGGCAGCATCATATGCGAGATCTGCCACGTGCTGGGGACAACCATTAGGGGCCTTGTGACATGCACCCAGCCAGCTCTCTGCAAGTCCCTCCAGCAAGGGGGGGCTGAAGGGACAGAGAGGGAGCAACTAGCAGGTGTTGCAAACGTGCCTTTATTGTGCAACTAATGGGCATGCCAAGACACCCTCTGAAAAGTTAATTTAAAGAGGATTTATTCCTAACAAAAACACAAGCTGAAAGCAAGGCGAGTATAAAAGTGATACTGTTACCTGTAAATTATCTTGTATTTTCCATCCCTCCCTTTATCTGATAAGGCAACCTCGTAGGTACAGGTGTAAGGCAAACCATTGTTGTGTCTGTCTGCGTTTAGGAGGCCAGTGGGAGGTGACCAGGAAAGCAAAACTGTTCTTGCTTGAATATTTGTAACCTATAAAAGAAACATAAACAGCTCTGAATTCCAAGAAAAGCACTATCCTCTAAGTGTTTGCTTTTTCGCTTCCATCTTCACAATCAATTTCTTGTCAAAAAGAAATCTGAGAGCTAGAAGTGAAAAGTGAAGGGTCAGAAATGGTGATCAACAACACAAAAATACAGATTTATGGCATAAACTCAATAACCTGTAACAAATGAGGAATACAGAGGTGTCCCCTGCAGTGAGCTGTCTCATCACTGTCTGCGCATCCAGCAAGGATACTCACAGCAGTCTACAGGTACCTGCTGCTGTGGCCATTATCAGAAGGCAAGTGGAGCTAAGTGAAACAAAGACTTGATCCTATAGATTGTTTTATAAACAATTATTTTTCTAAATCTTTTGTTACGGAGATTCTCTAATAAAACTCTCATTTTCTTCTTTTTTAGTCATCCTGCTTCTACTTTTAATTTGAAGCCGCGATCATTCAACTGCAAATAAATAAACAAACAATCTGCAAGTTTACACTGTCTCAGAAGCATAAGGGGAAATCATAAGAGAAGTCCAACTTGTCAGTTAAAAATTAGACTATAAATCAATCCCATTGTGCCCTGAGGGGAAGGCTGCATGGATGATCTACAGCACCCGGGGGTGCAACTCTAGAGTGATGCCTCAATGGCAGATGGGTAAGGATTCTATTTTAATAAAACACAGAAGAAATATCTCAAAGCCCTGCACCAGACCAACTTTTATCACCTCCTCAGTGCAGCTGTATTCTTCTAAAATCTCAGGTCCAAATACCTCCAGACTGACCGAGCTCCTTCTCACCAGGAGAGCCCGCCAGCACGGGGCCACAGACATCATCCATCAGCTGCACGTACCAAACAGCAGCTTCCCAGAGGACAACCTTCTGTTATCAGGCCAAGAAAGAAGACGACCAAAAAAACCCCATCAAACCTCCCCACCACTGTCTCAAAAGAAATAGAAATAAGAAACAATGGTTGCATCTGCTGTCTTGAAAAGACAGCACAACATTTTGATGAATGCCTTCTGAAGAAAGCCCAGGGAAGCCTCAAGACCTCTACAGCCTCAAGCTCTCTGCCACAAACTCTCCACTTTTCATAATGAAAATGACTGCATTTTTCTTTCAAATTGTACTGAAAATGTAAAGAATTTTTTTTTAGTTAGCCTTCATGAGGAGGAATCAAGGCATAAGATTTTATATACTTTACTCCTTTCTCCTATGCATCAAATTTCACTGGTTCTATAATTTTAACAGATTTTTCCAACACATAGGGACAACATTGTTATTTTAGAGGGTCTAAGATGAATTATGCAGGTGCTTAGTTACACATTTCCTGCACTTCTATTGAGACAATTGAAACACCTTACCCATTTGACATGATAATGAAATTTTAGAAATCAGCTTTCAGGGGCTGCTTGTTTACAAATCCAGCTTCTGGGTTTGTTTATATAATGGAGAATATTTCACTTCTCACATGAAAACACATTGCTTCCAGCTGAATAGCCCTGCAACTGTTGTATGTGTGCCCAATATATCAAGTAGATTCTTTCTAAGCAAGTCATAAATCTGTTTTTAACAGACTGACAAGTAGGTGACACTACAAAACATCTCATCATAATTTAAACACCATGCTCTCAAAAGTGCAAGATTTTAATTTATAGCTGCACACTTCAGCTTTGCCAAAAAAGAAAAATCTCTGTCCAACCTAATGTGAAAAATAAGTAGTAAGGCAAGAAGTTTTAAGCAGTATCAAGCTTTCTTGCATGAATTTTCATGGGATTTCTTCCTCTAGTTGCCTTTTTCTTATGCTGTGAAATCAGTGTTTGCTTCAGAAACTTGGGACCAGTGAAAACTGATGCAGGATTAGGTAGCTTATAAGAATTTCAAATGATTTAAATAAGACAGATTAAGTTACATTTTTGAGATATATTACACACATGCATATGAATTAAATAGTGATGAAGTCGTTTAGAGTTTTTTGATCAGAAAACTGGGGAGTAAGATTCAAACAGACTTTTTAAAAACATGCATTACTGCTATGCCAGCTCAGCCCATCAACACAGTTTCTTTTATTATGGAAATATGCTTGCATAATTGTTTTTCATAAATTCAGACTGACTTGGAGCTGCAGGCACGACATCCTGCCAACGTTCTATTGAACTGTATTTCCCTCTGGCTGCTCAAAGAACACACGTATATATTCCTCAGCCATCTGATAAAGTTAGGGCTTTTATCATTCCTTAAAATAAGTCTTGTGTGGATTAACCACTAGAAACTGTGAAGTCTGTAATTCTGAAGTCAGTGTGCAGACATGTCCATGCAGAGGATACCAGTCCAACCCCAGGTGCATGTTGCTCCAGCTACACCCTGCATTTCTTCCTGCTCCAGGGCTAAGCAGGGCGGCTGGCCGGCCGGCCCACAGAGCTGTGGGTCCAGCTTCAAAAATAAACACCAGAAATCCTTCCATACAATTCTGAGCTGCACTGAGTACACACAGCAAGTGTAGCAAAGCAAGCCAGGGGTCACCGCCTGCACGATAAAGTCAGAAAAGGCAAATCTCTCCACTCCCTGGGTACAGAAAGCGGAGCAGTGCTGTGCACGTCAGAGCCAGCACTGGGAATGGATTTATTTGTACAGCAAGAGATAACCCTATCTGCTGCTAACAGGCCTGATATGGTATCATGTTCACCAGCCAAAGGTGTATCTCTTCCTTACCTGATTTAATGGCCAAAGCCACCACTTAACTTCACTGAGGAACTCCTGCCTGGAGCAGGGAGCATTAGTTTTGCTGTGAAGAAGGGTAAGTTAAATAAATGGTGTTCTGCTACACTGAAAATAACAAGCAGGCACTTGCAAACCATCTCAGTGGCTTTAACTCCAACTTTTTGTGCTCACACCTGGGAAAACAAGGACCTTTCCATAGACAGTGAACAGCCAAACAGATCTGGACCAGCACCTCTTCATGTTGTAAGGAACAGCCCAGCCAACAGCAGGATGGTGGGCTCAACATCACTACCCAACTTGCAGATGCACTTAGCTGGAAGTAACAACTAGTTTATTGTTCACTAATGCTGCTCTAATTCCACCCCAAATATAATCAGCCAGAGCACCTCTTCACAGGCCAGGCAGGTGAACCTCCATGCTGCTTCCTAGCTACACCAGCCTGGCTCCTCTGTCCCCAGAATTACTGTGCTGGCTTTCAGCAGGCTTGGCCTTTTGGCTGAGACCTAACAAAAGATTCTCCCACACAGAGTTCTGTATGTCTGGTGAAAAGCACAGTTAATTAGTTTCTGAAAACTTCTCAGTTTACCCAGTAAATGCCTCCTTTCTGTGCCATCAAAACCCGGTGGTGTAAATAATTATTTTATAAAGGCCCCTGGGAAAGAATCCCAACTCCTGCACTACTTTAATAAGGTTACAAGACCGATGAATATCAGCCCTTCCAGTCTTTCAGGTAATGAACAATGTTTCTGTACAACTTTCATTATCTTTCAAATTCCGGGTGAGCATTCACAGGCCTCGTGTGGTTGGGGGTTTCATTGTATGTGTGAGAACGACACCGCAAGCAACACCCAGGGGCTCCCCCGAGGGCAGCGCCTGAAAGGCCTGGGGGTCAAAAGAATTCACGGTTATTACCGGGGCGAGATGTTGCTTTTAAAACTATGGCTCTAATCCTGCAATTTTAGGCAAAAATCCTGATGATTAAATATGAGTTTTGCTGCAGAGCAGGCCGGCGGGAGCAGGGAGCCTTTGGGAAGGGCAGACTGATGGCTGAGCTTGGCTCTGCAAATGCTGGGTCCCCCAGGGGGTGATGTCCCCCCAGGCCCTTGGCACCAGCCACACTGCCCCTGCCACCTCAGAAACCCAGAAACCAGTTTTCATTCCCTCACTGAAGCCTTTGCTATAGTGACCACTGGCTTTGTCTGCAATAATGCAAATTAAAAATATCTTTCATTTTCAATAAGAACGTGGGGGAAGGGAACCAAAAGGATTCCTTTAAATATTCTTCTGTCAAAGGGGTAAAACCATGATTGAATTTACAGCTTGGCTGCACGTCTCTCAAACAGGTAACACCATCTACTGTCCAAAACAGACTTTTTAGATATTCATCATTTCAGAAGTGTGTCTATTTTGTATTCAGAAAGGCGAGATGGACTTTGTCACACAGAAGTACATGGATAAGCCAGATTCAAGGTGGCTCCAAGCGGTACCACAGCTGCAGAGCGTCCTGCAGGAGATACTCGAGGGCTAACCCCTTCTGATGGCTTCAGATGATGGAGAGCTGCTGGCCTGGACACACCAAGGTCATATGCTGCAGCCATAGCATCACTTGGCTTGCCACTGACTAACTGCTCTCTACCCTTTCATTTTAATGGTGTTGTTTCTTTCTACACAACTGCTTTTCTAAACATTGTTTTATTTCTCATTCATACAGGCATAAGGCTCACCCACAAATATGGCCCAGATGAATATTTATGCATAAAATAATTTGATCGGATAAAATACTCACTGTGCCCACACATCATGATTCATAGCAATTAATAGTTTGTGAGACTCCTATATAGGAGTTTAATTACTCAAAAATGCTGAAGTTACAGGGAGAATAGATAATCCCCAGCATCTTCTCATTAAATGTCATTATTGAATTAGCATTTGTATGTTTTAGATAAGTATTTTTTTTACATTTCTTATTTTTGAAGTGATTCAAGGTACTTCTATTTTTAGTTTTTTACTCCCCTCTGCTTTACATGCTCTGGTTATTATCAAATTAATCATGCAGGGCCCAGAATCCTGTAAACTGCTCAAACAGCTTCTCTCCTCACCTCTATAGATCTAAGTATGAACTAACACATTTTTCATGTCAGCTCTCCAGGTCTTTGCAAAAGGCATTTCATTGTGGCATTTTACCAGATGAGTGACATTCAGGTAGTGCTTCATACAAAAATATTGATTCACTCTGAACAACAAACTACCCTAATTCTGTGCTAAGTGCACTTTTTTCACTTTCTCATCTCCCAGAAATTCTCAAGTGTTCAGCATAGTATTCTTACTTGTTTCTATATAAAATAAAGTAACTTTCCTTGTTGCTGTCCTGGTTTGAGCCAGGATGAAGCCAATTTTTCTTTTTACTGATTTTTTTTCCTTCAGTAAGCTTTCTTGTAGCTAGCAACAGTGTGTTCTGCTAGGCTGATAAGACAGTGGAATGTTTTTCTAACTACTGAGGCTTCAAGGCCGCACCTGCACTCTGCCGGCTCAGACACTATGGGGAGATCTGTGACCCCCCCGTAGGAGGCTGAGTTAGACAGACAGCAAAATTGGCCAAAGATATTCCATTCCATATATCTACGTAAGCTCAAAGGAAGGTCAGAGATCACAGAAGACAACTTCCTTCCTTCTTCTTCTCCCCTTCTCTTCCGTCCATGGCCGGCGTCCAGGGAGGACTCTGTTCATCATTCACCGTCGACCCTTAGGCTCGAGATCTCTGACCCCCATAACTCTCTGCTTTCTCCAGCAGCAGCTCCGGGATTCCTCGGGACTCTTCCCAGATCAGGGAAGTGCTGTGGGAGTTGCTGGGGTGGGGGGAGGCGAGAGGCTTTTGCCCACACCTGAATATATCTGTATATAATTGTATATATTTTCTTGTATCATTCATTAGTGTTTAATTAAAGCTGTGTAGTTTAGTTTTCAATCCAGCCAAGTCTCTCTCTCCTTCCTTACCTGGGTGGGAGGGGGAGGGGATCGAGAGCCTTGTTGTCGGACCTCAGTCAAACTGTGACAGTTGCAAACAGAAACTTGGGCTGCAGCTCCCTGGTATTTATCATCTCTGCAGGTCTGGTTTAGATTCTGGCTGGCTTTGAACCTGCTCTCATAGATGCCATGACAGAAGGATCCAACACCTACTGATTGAGCGATTCAAGACTGAACACCTTTTGTATTTAGTCAGAACAGAAGTATCCAAGAGAAGAGATCCTAAAAATAACCTGCCTGTGCTCATGCGTGCCTCTCCATGAGCTCTGCCAACCCCTCCATGGTCCCTTTGCAAGATTTCTTTTTATCAGCACCTACCCAGTTACTACTCAACCCAGTCTTTACACAAGCTTTCCAACTCCTCTTTTGTTTTGTAGAGCAAAGGAGATAAAACTCCCAAAGCACAGTCATCTACAGCTACCTCAGGACTGCTTCTTCAAGTGCTTGCTTGGAACATTCATTTAGATCCACAATACCTTTCTGGTTTTAATCTGACACACCAAGCTAGAAAAAACCATCACACTCAAAGGGCTTTACCACCAGGTTTATTAATTACCTTACCTGGCTGTGGTCACACCCTGCACCGTGATTCAATTTCCATCACAATTCACGTGATTTTATGGCTCAGACAAACTTAGAATATAGTAATTGCCATTGAATAACAGAATTAGCTTCATTTAATCATGATTACAGACACAAATTGCTCATGACAAATTAAATTAAACTCAGGGGAGAAAGGGTAGGAGCTTATGTAAAGCAGCCCAGTGAACTGGGTTCCCCATTGCAGTATGAGCATTGGGAGCTGGCTGCTGGCAACAGGTGACTGGTGTGATTCCTGCAGTGGGCAGAGCCCACAAATGCCCACGAGCACAAAAGATGCTTCAAATTTATTCCCACTGTGTACCAGTAAAATGAGTTAGATACATACAGTGGCAACAATCTATTAAGGAAAAAGTTCAGAGGTGCTCTCCTGTGAAATCACCAGTATGCTATGACACAACCTACTAATCACATTAGCTATTTTTGTGTGTGGGTGGTAATTTGGGATCACATACCTGTGGTTTCTCCATTCCAGAAAGAATGTCTTGAACCCTTTTTGTTTCTGAATCAAATTCTGTAAAATAATGCAGAAATGGAAAGAAAAATAAGTGACAAAAATTAAACAAAAATGTCAAAAAAATTCTTCAGGAATTGGTAAATAGGAGAGACAGACACATTACCTGTACATAAGCATCAGCTGTTTTGCTCTTGTGAATTTAAGTTACGTGATGGCAAGTATTAAAGCAAAAAAGGAAGGAATTAAACTTCAAGTAATGGCAGGTATTCAGAAAGATAAGATTAATTCTAGAGGTGTCCTCCACAATGTTATTAATTGGGATTTGCTTTCACAGAGCAAAACCATCCTATCTCCAAGGCTTGGCTTTGGAAGAGGCCAAGCTCAGTTATTGCTGAACCTACTCCTGGTTTATTAACAAAATGCATCCTTATTCCACCATGGGATGTAAAGCTGGGCCATTCCCCCAGTCCACCAGAGCACTGAGCTACCAGGGACGATGAGCATCCTTGTCCTGAGCTGGGAAAACCTGGCTGAGCTGCACAGAGTGCCTGACCTGGCACCCACCCTACAGCTGCCTGGCCTTAAATGCTGTTACCATTTAATGCTCAAGGCTCTTTCAATAGCCACCTTTCAATTACGGAGATTATAAAGTCATCCCAGGCTATCTGGGATGCCTGGTCAGCCCTAGTCCATCCTCTCTCCCTGAAGCCTGTGCCTGGCCCAGCAGCTCCAGCAGGGGCTCCACAGTGTTATCCCAGGGCAGGGTACAAAACACTGCTCCTCCAAACAGGCTAATTGAGCACAGAAGGTGCAGCAGAGGTGACTATCTGAGTGATGGAATCAGTCTTTTCCCCATCCTCCCCTCCCAAAAAAATGTCTTGAGGTAAAACTTCAGCTTAGAGTAATGAGGTGTCACAAAGCAGCTTTATTCCTTTTGGACAGCAGCACAGCGAGGCCTCAATTTCCACTACACTATTCTCTAATGGAAAACTAGGAACATATTTCTTCTGGGTTGGTTGGGGTTTTTTTTGGTGTTTTGTTTTGTGGTCTGGTAATTTGCTTTTTTTTTTTTTTTTTTTATAACATGAATGTAAAAACTTTGCTAGAATATGTTGCACCTAAAGCAAAATGAGCAGGACTTCTTCATTAAAAGCACACAGATCTGGCCTAGGGAGCAAAAAAATATTAACAAAGAAAAACTGTTAAGATCACATCAACAGCTTTCACAAATGATTCCCCCAAAGCCTGACCTACTTCTCGTAGCCCAAGAATGTGTCTTTATTTTTGTCTGTGACCTGCTTTAAGAAAGTACATCTTCTTTTTCAAATTCCATGTGCTCAGCTGCCAAAAAATAGAATTGGCTGAATGCTGATGGCAGAACTCCAGTGTAAATGCCCATCACTCCCTACAAGAATGCACCTTGGTGTGGAGTGGGGATGACAGATCTCCTGCTCCATGCATTCCTGGATTCCTTTTAGACTCAGCCACTTGGAAATGAAAGGAGTAATAACAATTCAGGAGAACAGGATAGCATGATTGTTTTTTTCCACAGCAGATAACCCTTAAGAGTGTATTATGAAGTGTAGGAACTGGCAGGATTTAGCCAGCATAAGAGAATACTGACTTGAAAACTACACAGATGGACTAAAATGGCTAAGAAAAATGCTGAGATGCTGATCTAAGTGAACATGTTACCAAAGTTTGGGGTGTTTCAGAATTCAAGATTCCCTTCAGCATCAATATGATTGTGCCACAAAAATCCAGATCTGGAAACTGCATAAATCCTATAGGCTTATCTTAAAGGGATGCTAATCAGTAACAGCTTCTGCAGCTACAGAGTGTAACAAAAATGCTGCTACTATTTTATTGAAAGTTTATGGCTATTATGTCACCCCTAATTACAACCCCCAGAAGCTAAGCGTGAATCATCCTCAACCTTAAATCTCAACCATGTAGACTGAATTTTCTTTCCTCTCTCTGCTTTCTAGCAAGGATGTCACACTGACCAGGAGAGGAAAATAAACTCTGAAGCCCAAAGAAATCTCACTTCCCTCTCATGTGAAAAATGATCACTTTGTACATTAACTAAGTCCTCTGACCCTTGCAGGTCAGGGCTGAAGGTTCAAACTGCTCCAAATACAGGAACTGACTTTAAGACCTATGGGAGTTGGGTATATCCAGCAAATAAATAATAATAGAAACCCCAAGTATTTAAATCAGAATTCTCAATGAAGATGCCTAGTAAGGAATTCTTTTTATATTAGCTCCTCAAATATGTAGTCTTTTCACAAGGAAAAGGCTCTGAGTACCAGATGCACTGAAGCCTTGGGTTGAGGACACATGGACATTTAAGTGGACAATGTGGATATTTATGTCATTGAGAGTTTAAACAGATAAGCTGCAAGTGGAAGAGGATAACTCTTGTTCAAAGATTTTGGGGAGAGGGAGAGAGGCAATGGGGCACACACAGATGTAAGGTGACGATGTGGGTGCAAAACTGTAACATAATTTAAAGTTGATGAATAATACATTTGTGGATGGGTGCTGCACCACATTTCCTGATGAGAAAGATGTATCAAATGATGACCATATGCTGACCAACCATGTCAGATACTACCCATGTGGAACCTCCCAAGGCTTCACTCACAAGGCTGGGCAGGTAGAAGCAATCACCTGCCCACACCAACCACTTTGTGGACATGGAGCTGCTGTTTCCCATGCCACTGGTTTGCTAATGCCATTAATTATTTTACCAGAACAACAGCTAAGAAAGAAAAGTCTAAAGTAAGAAATGCCCTTTCACCACGGGCTTTGAAATCACTGTACCGTATGGAAAGGGCAGAGTGTGCCTTGCAGCTCTGCACTGAATTAAAACAAAAAAAACCACCACAACAAACCCAGGAATAATAGGTAATGCCTTGTGAAATTAGAACAAATGTAAAATTAAAGACAGAAAGCAATAAATATGCATGAGTGATGTATATAGTAACTTCAGAGAACAGCTCAGGTTGGAAGGGGACCTCAGGTCATCAAGCCCAACCTCTGTCTGAAAGCTAAAAAAAAAACAACCCACAAAAAAACAGTGCAAAACTGTCCCAGGACAAAACTTGTTAATAAAACTGAAGCCAGAATTTTTGGGAGAAAGAAGGTAGCTCAGAGAATTTTCATCCTCTTACAGCATTTCAAAGACTATGTTTCCCATTTCAAGAGCCATAAAAGTGCTCAGCCTTCTGTGGATGGTTGATCTCCTCTCAGTAATAAACATAATTATTCACAGTCTCCTGAGCTAGACTAAGCCAAGGCAAAGGAGACCTGTCATGAACTCCTCAGTAGGATGCTGGTCTTACCTGCCAACCTCTCTCATAACACATAAGGTGTCATGCTCAAAACTTTCTCTCAAGCCAAAAAAAAAGAGGTCAAAACCTTCTGAAACAGAAAATGGTACAGGGAAAAAAACCCAAACATCTTCTGTGCTGGTCATACAGGATCGGTAAAAGCCTTTTGTCCTAGCTTACTATTATTGTTACTCATCAGACGCTGAGGAGTCTCCTACTGGAGTAGCTCACTGGAGCATTTAGGGACGAGAAGCACTGAGCATCTCCCAGACATCACAGACACAGTGGTGGAAAAGCAGGGAAGAACAGGAGGAAGGAAAAGGAAAGCCTTGTAAAACAGGACACTAAAATTCAGAAAAACTACCTACAACTGCTTAGAAAAGGTGGTTGCTGGCTCGGCATGATTCACCAACTTAGCACTAACTGTCCTTGAATAACAGAGAGCTGATTTGCTTTCAAGTCTTCCTCTCTTCCTCTCTCTTTCTCAGTTAATTGAGCAATGACTATCTAATAGGAACACAGCAGAGCTCTGTATGTCAACTTCCCCCCATGAACTCTGGGGCTTGCAGGGGCAGACAGGGGACACTCACTCCTTCCCTCCTTTCCCATTGGAAACAGAAGTCCACACAAGGAAGGGCCCAACTAACACTTCAGGTCATTGTCCCATTATAACTTTTCCTCTCAACATCTGTTCCTTACATCTGCCATGGCAAAACTCTTCCTCCTCAGAGGAAGCTGGGGGTGGGGATGAATTCCTTGTGAATGCTCAATGGGGTCCTCGGAGGGACAGTACAAAAATCTGAGTTATCTTGTAGATCTCAGTGTCTCATCCATGGTCCAGTTCTCCCAAGCTATAGCACTGGGCTCTCATTTCCAGGCTGTGGGTTATTTGGATCCAATGTTTCAGACAAACCTTTAGCAGAAGAGAAGGCAGCTGTAAGATCTGGACCACAACTAATTTTATATTTTGGTTATATCTCTGTTTTTTTCAGAGAAAACTCCACAGACACAACCAAGAGTAAATGCCCCTAAAAATTAAACACTTTCTCAGCAGCTGTTTGGTGCTAACAGGGTTTCAATGTCAAGTCTTACTGAACTAAAGCATTTTACTGTATGCTTCTGTTAGCCTCAATGTATGTTCCTTTCTGCACGTACAGTACAAATATAATTTTCAGATCTTTCCAACCATACTTCTGCACACCAAGCACAGCTTTAAAAAACAGGATTAAAAAACCAAAAGACAAACTATTTGTCATTTCAAGCTAAGTTATACGTTTCTATGCATAGTTTTCATGTTTGCATGAACAGCAGCTGTGTATGTAAATGGTTTGAAACAGCTAAAAGCTCTAAACTAATTAAGATTTTCCCACTGCAAATACAGATTTTAGGTTTGTTCTGCATTCCTTCCTTTGCAGGGAGGAAAAGGTCCAGCTCAAGACTTAGCTTCTGGCCACAGAAAGTATTTACTGTTTCAACAGCCTTTCCATTCCAAAGTAATGACATCAGCACTTGCACTTTGCAAACTTCCAGGCTAATTCTCAAGCAGAGCTCCGTGCTCACAGATATGCCAGTCATAACATGACATGCTTTCTCAGAATTTGTTCCAGATTCACTGGGGCTGTGACCAGCTTCAGTGCTAGGAAAGATCTTTCATCAGTCACGTACCGCACAACCTACAACCCGCAAACAAATGAACTCTTCAAAACACAGCCCAGCTCCTTT